AAAAAACTAAAGCTAAAATACACTTCAGCAGCATAAGGATTTCACGACCAATCCTGACTAAAACAGACAGATCATGCGTTTGTTCAACATCTATGGGCTTCTTCCGCAGGATCACTGCCTCATCAGCCGCCGTAGCCGCCTGTGCAAGAGAGTTTTGCACGTGTTCAACATACTTTTCCTCCCAGTACCAGCCTGAACATATAGTGCCATCCCACTGAAATTAAAACAAAAAATTAGAACTTTAATCACAATCATCATGAAAATAAGTATATATTAACCATAATCATCAAATGCGACAAAATAACTCACATTACGATCCGGACACTTGTAGAAGCCTCACCCGGTACTCCATCACAATCTTCTCCTCACACTTGCCGCATGCAATGAGAGGGAGGTCTGGCCTCAGTCGCTTTGGAACCCGATGAGAGGCCGAGGACCCGGAAGCAGTTGACATCTACTCTCTATACTCATTTTAATATAATATAAATTTCTCATTTTATAAACAAATAAAATTAAAAAAACTCTAAAATTCTCTATATCTCTAAACCATGAAGTATGCTATGCATGCTAGAAATGAAAGCTGAATACTAGTTTTGAATAACTACTTTAACCTTCCTTCATCCAAATATGCAAACTTTAAAGTGATTTTGAGCTTAAATGGCTTACAAATAAAAAAACCCATCATAAAAAATCACATATATCTAGTCCACAAAATGAGATATGCTACTGATGAAACATGAGAGTATAAAGTTGGTAACCTTTAGAACCAGAGAATCGATGGAGGAATCGAAGAAATCTTATGATTACCGACGATGACGAAGAAGAGAGGCCAGCGATGAAGCAAGAACACTGAGCTCGAAGTGGCTCGGGCTCAAGGAGGAAGAAGGCCTATATAGGAGGGGACCTTTAGTTCCGGTTGGAGACAGAAACCGGGACTAAAGGTCCCTTTCTAGTCCTGGACGAAGCCTCCAGCCGGGAGTAGACTTTTACTCCCGGTTTGAGGTACCAACCGGGAGTAAAAGTTAACCTTTAGTCCCGGTTGGTAGCTCCAACTGGGACTAAAGGTCTCCTGCAGCAAAAGCCTGCCGCAGTAGCCGTTGGGCAGGGACCTTTAGTCCCGGTTGGAGCTACAAACCGGGACTAAATGTCTCTCTAGTCCCGGGCGCGAAAAATACCGGGACTAAAGCTAAATTTCGAGCTGGATCAAAGGTCGTTTCTCTACTAGTGTATATATCCAGTGCAACATATGCAACATCGAGATAAAACACTTGCAACATACGTTTGAAATAGCTGAAACATTGGAAACATACACTTGCAACATACGTGTATAGTCCTTACAACATATGCAACACTAGATCTACTTTTGCAATATATAAATGAAACATATGCAACATACATCTGAAACACACGAAACATACGGTTGCAACATGTGCTCATCTACTTGCTGCCCCTAATGGACGCTCGTTGACGCGGAGCTTGACGCCGACACAGAGCTCGATGCCACTGGCGCTGGAGGTCGGACCTCGGCTGTGCGTGAAGGGCTATGACGACGAGGCGAGAGCAGCACACGGCGCGAGGCATGAGGCGTGGGTGGGGCGCGCGAGGCACGCTGGCGCTGGAGCAAGCGGGTACCTCTGGTCCGGTCGGATGGACGGACGCTAAGAAAGCATTACCGAATTAATAAAGATATATATATATATATATATATATATATATATATATATATATATATATATATATATATATATATATATATATATATTCGTTGCTTCTTTTTGCGGGTTGAGCTCATTGCGTTCGACAACACCGGGGGCTACGACAGGAATATCTTACCAAAGCTCATATGGCAGCCCAAAATCATAGCCCACAAAGCTAGAGCCCAAGTAACGGTTCGTTGAGTTAAGTAGTGCTCAACCGCTCATCTTCTTGTTTTATTTTTATAGAAAACTAGAGAGGCAAGATGGAGAAAACCACCTCAGGATGTGGCAAAAATAAATTGTGATGGGGCTTTCATGCAGGAAGAACGATCGGGAGGCTGGGGCTTTGTCATTCGCAGCTATTAAGGGGAGGTCATCTCTACATGTTTCGGTAATTTGAAAAGAGTGCTGGAACCCTTCCAGGCGGAGATCATTGCTTGTTTACAGGCGGTGCAAAGAGCAGCTGATCCTGGTCTACAAAACGTCATTCTGGAAACAGATGCATTGATGGTAGTCCAGGCAGCTCTGTCTTCTATTGATGATCGAAGCTCGGCTAGTGGTTTGGTGTGGGAGCTAAAAGCATTGCTGCGCTGTAATTTCAGTTCTTGGGTAGTAGCTCATAATCCAATGACCTGTAATCTAGTTGCTCATGGTTTGGCGGCTTTAGGTTACAAGTTGAGCCCGGATACTGCTGTCTTTGATAGTATCCCAATGTGTATCTATGAACAGTTGGCCAATGATTTGGCCCCAGTTATTGAGTAACTGATTTTCCATGTTTCAAAAAAAAGAATTTTTTTGAATCGAAAAAAGAGCCCTGGTGACACTAGATAACCACATTAGCTAAGGATTTTCCCTCTTTATCATGGCTATCTATCCTAACCTAGCCATTCATCTTCTATAATTACCATTTGGTCGGTAAAAGACAAACCTATGTTGTACCATTTTCTTGCTTTGTCTTTTATCTTGTCCATCTTTTTCATATCATCACTTCCATCTTCTTTTATTCTTGAGCTAATTGAGCTTTTGCATCATGTCATCATGCATCCCACTCCATGGCCACCATATTGCTCAACTCAAGCTTGTGGACTAACTTTAACCTATCATCTTACATAAAACGTGTTAGTCCACTAATGTTGTCATTCAATTATCAAAACTCAAACGAGTATTTCAGTCGACCCAAATATTTTTCTGCTATCGTAGGTAGAAAATATGAGATACAAGATTAAAAAATATTATGATAACACATTGAGATTATTAGCAATGCATCAAATTAAATAAGTTTGCTGGTGAACCATGATTTTAAAATTTTATTTCATTTGCACTTGCAAAATATAATACCCCTTGATCTACTTGCAAACATGGGCATGCTTACATATTGGATCAATAGGTTTGTTCTTATCGACGATCTATTTTAGATTTTGAGGCGGGCACCTATGGCGACCTTACTCTTATGGATATATAGGGACAATTAGCTAATAAATCATTCCGATACATTCCCATCCTACCGCCATCCAACCGGCGACCCTTTCCGCTAATAGCACACACGACACACAACACAACCCCCGATCGGGAGGGGGCGTCTAGGTGCCGACCCGGGTGGCAGGAAGCCCCTGCCGACCCCCTCCCCTTCCTCACAATTATTTTTTCGTGGGCCGTATCTCTTGTAGCTGGGTCGTGTTGCTGTTTAGGTCCGCGCCCCACACAGTCAACTAGACAACAACCATGCAGTAGATCCGAAATAGCTGACATCAGCACATATTTCATGCTTTTTTGAAGTAAAAAAAGACATTGCTCCTAAACCAAGTATCCTAATTAAAATTCGATTGCACCATCGTGTTCTTTGCAATAAACTCTTCAAAACAAGACCCCACATGGATATATTTCAATAAAAAAACTTAACGAACATTTACCTCATGATGAATATGTATTTAAAGATAATCGTCGAACATCACATTAACACTACACGAACATAAAAAAAGCATAGAACATCATATGTATACTACGTGGACATCACATATATCATGAAATGTAAAAATAAAAAATAAAAAGTAAAATTAGTGAAGAAATTAATTATAATCAAATAAAAAAAGAAAAAAGTACCACCGAGCATCACAAATACATCGTAGAACATCACATTAGCACTACACGAACATCACTAAATATAACATAGAACATCATATGTATACTACGTGAACATCACAAATATCATGAAAATATAAAATAAAATAATAAATTTAGTGAAGTAATTAATTAGAGTCAAATAAAAAGAAGAAAAGATGCTATCGAACATCACAAAAAATATCCTAGAACATCAATGTATGCTTACTGAACATCATAAAATACATCGTAGAAAATCACATTTTGACTCGTGACTAAAAAAATACATCATAGAACATTACATGTATACTACATGAACATTGCGTGTATCTGTAAATAAAAAAAAGTGAAACATAAAATTATAATATAGAAAAAAGGAAAATAAATGAATGAAAGGAAAGAAAAAAGAAAAGGAAAACATACAATAAAAAAGAAAAAGAAAACAATAAGAATAATAAAATACCACTGAAAAAAATGAAAAAAGAAAAGGAAAAAAAGAAATAGAAGAAAAGAAAAGAAAAATAAAAAAGGAATAAAAGATGAAAAGAAAAAATAAGAAAGAAAAAAAAGAAAATGTACCTGATCGGCGTCTTAGAGTCGAAAAAAAAGAGAGAAACATACGTTGAAAGAAAAATAAATATAATTAAAAAGAAATAATAAAAAAGAAAAGAAGATAAAACTTGCGTACCTGACGGACGTCGGGGAACGGAGTTGCTCGCTCGCTCGTAGGGTGCATGGGCCAGATTTGCTGGTGGGCCGCGCTCGTAGAATTCCATATTCACGGAAGAAAAAACTGTAGTGCGCAGGGGGGTCGGCAGGGAAGATTCCCGGGTCGGGAGGGGGAAAACTAGTTGGAAATGCTCGGTAGAACCCATATAGGCCACAGCGGCGGTAAATTTCTCTCGGAGGTGGGCCTCACGAGACAATCTCAAAACCAGAGTGGGCCTCATCACGGCCCAGTCGAAGAAATGGTCAGCCTACACAAACGATTGTCCAGACCCAGCCCAACAACGACAACCCGTCGGTTAGCCAGAACGACCACCTGGTTGGGCCGGGCCGTGCCGTTCCATCCGTTTGTTGTTGGGGCCCGACACGCTTACGCAATTTGTGCGAAAGAACAGAAAAGCCATTTGTTTCGGACACGTCTCTTTTTCTCTCCTTCTTTCGGGCGTGTCCAAAAAGCAAAGCGACGCGCGTCGCCCCGCCATGGCGCACGCCACCAAGGCCGCCGACGACCACGACGCCTCGCCGCTGCCTCTCCCTCTCCCGCTCCCATGGCCACGCCCGGCGCCTCTTCTCGTCATCCTGTCCCTGCTCGCCGCGGCCTCCTACCTGGCCCTCACGCGCGTCCCCGCCGCCTTCGCTTCGGGGCGCCTGATACCCGCCGGGCTCCTCCCGATCGCCCCTCCTCGCCCTCACCCCCACGACGCGCCCGCGCCCGGAGACAGCTGCGCGGGGTTCTACGCGGGCGCGGGGCCGGCGCGCGCGGTCGCGGCGTCCGTGGAGGAGTTCGGGGCCGTGGGCGACGGCGCCACGCCCAACACCGCGGCGTTCCGGCGCGCCGTCGCGGAGCTGGACGCGAGGGCCGGTGGGAGAGGGGCTAGGCTTGACGTGCCCCCCGGGAGGTGGCTCACGGGCAGCTTCAACCTCACCAGCCGCTTCACCCTCTTCCTGCACCGCGGCGCGGTCATCCTCGGCTCCCAGGTCACGGATTCATTCATTGCTTGCGCAATTCTTCTTCTGTTCGATTCAATTCGTGCTTTTTCTTATACGACAATTATGTGCATCGGCTTCGCTTTACGAGTGGTTTGAATTTTGCTTAGCATTTCTGCTCAAGCATGCGCACAAATGCGTGATTTTGTTCAGTTGCCATGCATGGACAGCAAATTTCGTTACATTGGTGGTTCAGATATTTCCATTTTCACTTCTGTGTGCTCCAAAATCTGAACATAAGAGGGCGTTCGTTCGTAACCTCGTAGGTAGGAGTATACTCCCTTCGTAAAAAAAAAACGCACGTATTTCTAGATGAGTCCAGTTTAAAGTTAGAATTGCGTTTCTTTTAGACCGAGGGACTAGTACATTGGGATTTGGCTCCGTATCCTCGTCGAACTGCGCGTCGTCAAACTAGGTGGATTCGGCGCTTGTGCTGTCACTGTACGTGTCACATGCCATGATCCGTGGCGGCAATAAAGAAAAAGATACAGCCAGTGGCGGTGATGTATTGGAGTCACATGCTTGGACTTGGACGGCCTGCGTCTATCTCTGACTCTATGTGGTTACATGTGAACCAGTTCGCTGGCTTATTAGTCGTATTTTTTTAATAAAAAATAGTATTTGTCTTAAAAAAACAGTGAACGGTGCTTTTTAGCCCAGCAAAGCAATTTGTGTGCCTTTGCTTTGTCCCCACTGCTGCTTCGACCTGGACTGGTGTTGGGCTGTTGGTCCCAGTTGATACCTCCTTGTAGTACTTTACATTGCTTCCACCCCCGTCTTATCTGTTTGTGCTAAAGCCAATAGGGGGTCAGAAAAATCTCTGGTTTGGAGCTTTGTGCAGGAGCCAATAATCCCTGTTTTTGGTCCATCCGGTAGAGATAGACATGTCATGCCAGTGTGACAACATGTACGGACTAGGCAGAATAATATGTGTTGACTGTTCAGGATTGGGCAGATTAATTTGCTAGAAAGGGAGGAACTGTGATAGTACTGTGTATTCATGATCCATGTGAGGAGGTTCAGTAGGAATTGGTTGCAAAGGAACTAGCATAATTGAGAACGTAGCTGTTCAATTCTCCTGCTACAGGTACTTTCCAACAAAACAAACAAGTACTAGCTAGATGGGAATGAAACCATAATCAAGATGTTTAATTTAGGGCCGTTACACCCTTCACATGTTGTCCACAGTGCAATACTGCAATCACCTTTGATATCATTAGAGAAATCATGTTGAGTTTCCAACTAGTAACAATGACATAGTTCTATAAAGTGGAGTATAATTGAGAGGAATTTGCTGGGAACTTGTGAGCTTCAGTTGGAACACATTGATAATTGTAAGCCATCTTGCGTCCTTTACAGCTAATGCCAGGTCCAAAATATTGTGCGCGCCAATCTATGCCCATTTTGTTATTTCATTTGTGTCAACCAAGGCAAGCAACATTCACATAGAAAGACACAGCTGCATGATTTGTACAGTACTGTAGACTCATCAGGTCATTATAATGCCAACATGATGGCTTTATAATACCAACATGATAGCATGGGGAAACAGTCTTCAAGGGGACCATGCACTGGATTCTAGATTGAATATTGATGTCTTCACATTTAAGTAGGCGAGTGTCCAGCACTTCATAGTTGTGTATGCTCATTACAAAACTGCATAGAGTATTGAGTAGCAAGTTGGACTATGATATGCAGGATCCAGAAGAGTGGCCTCTCATTGCCCCTTTGCCATCTTATGGGCGTGGAAGGGAACGGTTAGGACCACGCCATATCAGCCTCATTCATGGAGAGGGCTTAAATGATGTTGTGATTACTGGTATGACAAGTTCTTAGCTATGTCTACTTTCATGATTGATTAATAAATAAAAAAATTGCCTCATTAAGTTAATAAATCAAAATTTGAGTAAAACAAAATTGAGTCTTTTTTTTTTTGGTAATGGCATAGGCTTGAATTTTAGTCTTGGTCCATATCATCTCAAGAATTAGTGTTGATGTATAACTTGAAAATGCACTACACAAATATCAGGTAGCAACGGGACCATAGATGGCCAAGGAAATATGTGGTGGGAGCTATGGTGGAACCGAACTTTGAACCACACAAGAGGCCATCTCATCGAGCTTGTGAACTCAACCAACATCCTAGTGTCCAGTATCACACTGCGCAACTCCCCTTTCTGGACAGTACACCCGGTCTACTGCAGGTCAGTTTATCAAGCTGATTCCGCTGCATTTCCTAATAGGAACATTTTCATTCTATGTAAATGAAGTTCTGGGAAAATGAATATTTGCTATTTATTTGCCAGCAACGTGGTGATGAAGGATTTGACCATACTGGCTCCCCTGAATGCTCCAAACACAGATGGCATCGATCCAGGTTTGTGCTGTTATTTTCATTAGCGTCTTACTGTTTTTGTCTTTCTGAGAATTAGCCAAGCCAAATGCAGTTTTATCATCATGGTTTTCTATATGTTTGGGATTTTTAACAACTAGATATATTTTAAATTCGCCACTAGTGAATCTGTTTTGCAAAGGATGAACTCTTTACTGACAGCTCTCTTGCTGAACAATGGCAGACTCGAGCTCGGAAGTTTGCATTGAAGACTGCTACATCGAAAGCGGAGATGATCTTGTTGCTGTCAAGAGTGGTTGGGATCAGTACGGGATCTCTCTTGGCAAACCGAGTACAAACATCGTCATTCAGAGGGTTTCAGGCACAACTCCGACATGCTCAGGTGTAGGTTTTGGTAGCGAGATGTCAGGAGGCATATCTAATGTGCTTGTCCGTGACCTCCACGTATGGAACTCTGCGCAAGCCGTGAGGCTCAAGACTGATGTAGGGCGGGGTGGGTACATAACCAACATCACCATAGCCAATGTGACGATGGAGAAGGTCAAGGTACCAATAAGATTCAGTCGAGGTGCAGATGACCATTCTGATGACAACTATGACCGAACCGCACTACCAAGGATCAGCAATGTGCTTATCAGTGACGTTGTCGGTGTAGACCTGCAGCGAGCACCAATGCTGGAGGCAGTGCCTGGTGCAGTTTATGAAGGGATCTGCTTCAGAAACTTTAGCTTAAGAGGCATACGGCGGCAGGACAGGTGGCATTGCGAGTCCGTGTATGGAGAGGCGCATGAAGTTTTTCCTGCACCTTGTGAAGAGTTCAGGAAAAATGGATCTTCGTCATGGTGTGGATTTCTTTGAGCAGTTGCACAGATTACAGTAGTCAGAAGTTTTGAGAGTGGATGATACAGGAATACTTGAAATAGAGGGTGTTCATATTGGTGTTCCATGAAGCATATGACATAGGTTTTTGAGATTATACAGACAAACTCGGGATTTTAACTTTAGTCTTCTGTTTTTGGAGTGGGGTTAGAAACACCATGTATGTGCACAGCAAAAAATAATAATAAATCAATTAATACATTAAATAAATTTCATGTATCCCTTTTACTACATGTCATTTAGACATTCAGTACTTATATGTTTCCCATTCGTGCAATCTACTACCATATTCAGTACTTATATGTACACCAGGGGTGTAATGTACTGAGTACTGGATACTAAACTGACTTAAAAGGTGGATGACTACTTTTGATATTAGAATAGATATGTTTGACTTAAACAGCCAAAAGGGGATAGCTCAGTTGGGAGAGCGTCAGACTGAAGATCTGAAGGTCGCGTGTTCGATCCACGCTCACCGCAATTTTTTCATTTCTTGGTTTCTGAGTTTTTTAAAAAAAAAATTCTCCGGGATTTTTTCCTTATTTTTGTTTCTGGATTTTTATTTCATTTTTATTGTTTCTGGGAGTTGGTTCCTGCTGATTTGCTCTCCAGTTTTTGCTTACTAAGCTGATCATATTTTTTCAAACATTTACTCCTATGCTGAATTGCTAACTACATCTTTCCAAAGTTTGCTCAGTGGAATGATCACCGTTCGTTTGATCCACGTCTAGGATCTTGGGGCATTTCTTATGAAAGAAAGCCAGGAATCTGGCCATGCTCAAGTGGACTCAGATGGAACCAAAAACAACAATCAGCTTTGCTGCACGCGGAAGTGTACATTCCCCCTTCGATCCAGCTGCTGTGAATTTACAAGCTACAATACCTCGACTCAACGAGCCTTTCATCGCAAACTACAATGCATCTACACGAATTTCCAAGAGAGGTAACCCTGGGAGTGTTTGAGTTGATGACCACCCATTTCTCATGCTTTGCTACAAGCTACAAAGCTTATATATATGGAGCAGGCAGAAGTCATAATACTTGTTTGTAGTTTATTTGTTATGTTACCGATGTTTAGCTGCTTAGTTGGGGATTACGATTTGCCAAAAGTTCAGGGTGTTACAATTGCAAAGCTGGAAAAGTTTATAGGGAAACTTCACATGTCTATTTGATTCCATTCCATGCAACATTTCCAAGGCAGAGGAAAGTCAATTTTCCCTGAAGACTAGCTTCTTGTCTTTTGTATATATATACTTGATTTTGAGAAAAATTCATGGCAGGTTCCTTAACTTGGCTCGAGGTGTCGTATAGATCCCTGTACTCTTCAAATGCAATTTCTGTGTCCATAAACTTATCTTCGGATGTCATCTAGGTCCAAACGAGTTCTGAGCCACTCCATACGTTGACATGGCACGGTGACTATACATCCTATATATGGGTCCCACTTGTCAGGTCATTCTCTCGACTCCGTTCTTCTCTTTCATCACGCGCGGAAGACCGGCTCCAACGGGTTCCCGACGCCAAGCCCCCAAAACACTCGGCAAACCGTTTGCCGAGTGTTACACTCGGCAACTGGTTTATCGGCAAACGCTGTTTTGCCGAGTGTTTTTCGTCGGGCACTCGGCGAAGACTTTGCCGAGTGCCCCAAAAACACTCGGGAAACATTTTTTGAAAAAATAAAAAAGGCATCAGCCACTGGAGGAAGAAAGGGCGCCGTCGGATCCAGCCACCCCGCTCGCACCGGCGCTGGCCCGCCACCGCCGCCACCGGATCCAGCCTCCCCGCGACGCGCCACCACCGGAGGGAGAGAGAAGAGAGGGTGCCGCCGGAGGAAGAAAGGGCGCCGTCGGATCCGGCCACCCCGCTCGCACCGGCGCCGGCCCGCCACCGCCGCCACCGGATCCAGCCTCCCCGTGCCGCGCCACCACCGGAGGGAGAGAGAAGAGAGGATGCCGCCGGAGGAAGAAAGGGCGCCGCCGGATCTGGCCTCCCCGCGCCGCTCCGCCACCGGATCCGGCCTCCCCGCTGAAAGGTCCTAATGGCTAGAGGGGGGTGAATAGCCTAATAAAAATTTCTACAACAACACTTAACAAATCGGTTAGACAATTATAAGGCGGAGCAAGTGTTGCCCTAACCTACTAAAATAGCAAGCCACCTACCACAATTCTAGTTGATATAGTTTCTATCCACACAATAGCTATGTCACTACATTAAGTTAGTGTGCTCTCAAAGGCTAACTAAAGATCCACACTAACCAAACTAACAAGCTCTCACAACTAACTACACTAAAGAGCTTGACAACTAGTTTATGGTAATGTAAAGAGAGTGAGCAAGATAGTTATACCGTCGTGTCGAGGAGTGAACCAATCAATCACAAGAATCAATATCAATAAAGACCAATCACCGCGGAATCAAATGTTGAACACAATAATTTTTTACCGAGGTTCACTTGCTTGCCGGCAAGCTACTCCTCGTTGTAGCGATTCACTCACTTTGGAGATTCACGCGCTAATTGGCATCACACGCCAAACCCTCAATAGGGTGCCGCACAACCAACACAAGATGAGGATCACACAAGCCACGAGCAATTCACTGAAGTACCTTTTGGCTCTCCGTTGGGAAAAGGTCAAGAACCCCTCACAATCACCACGATCAGAGCCGGAGACAATCACCAACCTCCGCTCGACGATCCTCGCTGCTCTAAGCCGTCTAGGTGGCGGCAACCACCAAGAGTAACAAGCGAATCCCGCAGCGAAACACGAACACCAAGTGCCTCTAGATGCAAACACTCAAGCAATACGCTTGGATTCTCTCCTAATCTCACAAAGATGATGAATCAATGATGGAGATGAGTGGGAGGGCTTTGGCTAAGCTCACAAGATTGCTATTTCAATGCAAATGGCTAAGAGAGTGAGCTTGAGTCGGCCATGGGGCTTAAATAGAAGCCCCCATGAAATAGAGCCGTTGTACCTCTTCACTGGGCACAACACGGGGTGACCGGACGCTTCGGTCATATTGATCGGACGCTGGACCTCAGCGTCCGGTCACGCGATGCGTGCCACGTGTCCCTCTCTTCAAATGCTGTGCGCCCGATCTCAACGGTCAGAAGACGACCGGACGCAGCAACTAACAGTGACCGAACGTAGAACCCCCAGTGTCTGGTCGTTTCCAGTAAGCTTCCAGAAACGATTTTTCCCGACCGTACGTGTCCGGTCATGCTTGACCGGACACAGCCAGCGTCCGGTCACACGTTGTCTTCCTTTGTGCTGCCACGTCAGCATGACCGGAAACAACCTTCTAGCGTCCGGTCGCTGAGCGACCCAGCGTCCAGTCATGAGACCGAAACGCACGCCCTCTGCTGCCACTGACCGGACGTGCCGGTCCAACCGAGACCAGCGTCTGGTCACTTACAGTGACCTCCGTCTTTTCTGTCTAGGGCACCGGTGAAGTTCCTTACCCTTACTCAAATGTGCCAACCACCAAGTGTATCACCTTGTGCACATGTGTTAGCATATTTTCATAAATATTTTCAAGGGTGTTAGCACTCCACTAGATCCTAAACACATGTGCAATGAGTTAGAGCATCTAGTGGCACTTTGATAACCGCATTCCGATACCAGTTTCACCCCTCTTAATAGTACGACTATCAAACCTAAATGTGATCACACTCTCTAAGTGTCTTGATCACCAAAACAAAATAGCTCCTACCATTTTTACCTTTGCCTTGAGCCTTTTATTTTTCTCTTTCTTCTTTTCAAGTCCAAGCACTTGATCATCACCATGGCATTACCATCATCATGTCATGATCTTCATTTGCTTCACCACTTGGAATGTGCTACCTATTTCATGATCACTTGATAAACTAGGTTAGCACTTAGGGTTTCATCAATTCACCAAAACCAAACTAGAGCTTTCACCCACGCCGCGCCGCCACCGGATCCGCCCTCCCCGTATCGCGCCACCATCGGAGGGAGAGAGAAGAGAGGGCGTCGTAGGAGGGAGAAAGGGCACCACCGTATCTGCCTTCCCCGTGCCACGCCGCCGTCGGATCCGGCCTCCCCGTGCTACGCTGCCACCGGGTCCGCCCTCCTGTAACACCTCGGTGTTAAGCATGCATTAGCATTTTGCAAATCATGAGCATAATCATTAATTTGCATGCATACGCATGACATGAAATATAGAATGAAAACATACTATTGAAACATGTATGTTGCATAGTTTTGTTTTGATAGATTGGATGCTATGTTTGTTTTGCCATGTGTGTACCTTGGTTGATCACTTAGACCAATTAGAAGTTGCTAAGATGCAATTTGGAGCAAGGTGTTTATTCAAAGTTTTCTCAAATTTTGCTTTTAAAAATAACCTTCTGAAATTGAGTTTTTGATTTAAATTAACTTTCAATCTATAGTTCAAAATCTAATTGGATTTTGGCCTTACTCTTTTTGGCAAAGTTGTAGAGTACTTTTTTCTGAACAACTTTCATTTTTACACCAACTTGTGAAAATGCTTTTAAAATGGCTCGAAATGGAATTTTAGTTCATTTATTAAGAAATAAAAGAAAAATCCTTTTATTTTCCTTAGCAGGCCGCCGCTTCCTTTTCGACCCAAGAAGACAGGCCGGTGACTGCCTCCACACCCGCTGTCCGCTCCTTGCCGGCCCCGCTGCGACCAAACCGCAGAGCTCGGCGGCGGCGTGTCCGCATACCACCGTCGTCGTTGCTCACCAGCGTGGACACCGGTGGTCCCAGCGCCTCGTGTCGCGCCTACACCCTGGCGCAAGGCTCGCCTCCCTCTCCTCCATCTCATTTGCTTCTCGCTCGGAAGCAGCAGAAGAAGCGCGCGCCTCGCCCGCCCCGCCACCGCCTTTTGCGCCGCCTCGCCCGAGAGTTGGCGTTCACGCCGCTCCAGCTCGCCGTCGACTACCCCATCTCGCCCCGTGCTCCGCCTCCACCTCGCGCACCCCGTGCTTGCCTCGGTAA